ACGGCCCAGAAAAATGCCTCAGCCGGTTAAAGTGCATTCTATGCAAGCCTGAACCTGACTCAGGTCCCAGGAATGTACAGTAGGAGAGAATTGATTCCTGAAATATCTTCTGACTCCACTCATAATAACTAAGTAGCCAAGTAACTTTAATTTAAAAAAAAAAAGAAATGTAAGCGTGCAGTTGAAAAGAAGATCTAAGTGTTCATTGGAACCTAACAGCCTGGCTAACAGTCCTTTTCAGGACTTATGTCCTGGAGCGCTTGCCAGGACCGTTCAGAGCCAGCCAGGTCAGGAAGGCGTGCTGGGCTCTAGGATGTTGGATAGTACACACAGTTTACCAAGCCTCAGCCTACACTCTGAACTCTGGTGGACCAGGAGTCCTTGAGGAGAAAGACTGCTGTGGACATGGAATTCTTCTCATGTCCCTTGTTTTTCAAACAGGCTATCACAGTGTATCTTAACCCGGCCTTGAACTTAAGTAATTCTATCTCGATGCCAGCCTGGTCTTCAGTTTGGTTTTTCGAGACAGGGTTTCTCTGTATAGCCCTGGCTGTCCTGGAACTCACTCTGTAGACCAGGCTGGCCTCGAACTCAGAAATCCGCCTGCCTCTGCCTCCCAAGTGCTGGGATTAAAGGCGTGCGCCACCACCGCCCGGCAAGTAATTCTATCTTAAAGTGGTAGGCAGTTGAGCTGGAGACAGTCACTCTCTTTGGATTTTGGTTTGCTTCCAGTGTCACAGAGAGGTCCCTGGGTCTGGTAGGCCTCCCCTGGATGTATGTGGGAGTGAGCATTTCTAGAACTCGCAACAGTGTTTCCATTTTTAGGGCTCCCTGGGCCTGAAGCATAAAGGAAGCAAGCCACTGTTATAGGTGTGAACAGCCACTTACCCCGGGATGGTGAGTGGGAGGGCCTGGAACATTCTGGGGGACCTTTGTCTCCTTTTAGTAAAGTTGTTCACTGGCCTGGCAGTGGTTGTAGGTGCTGTTCTAAACCTGAGTCTGTTTTCTGCCTCCTTGGGGCACTTGCTTTTGAGAGTGAATGCTTCTGAGCCAGAGCTTTCCCTGTCACTGAGACAAGCTTCAGGAGGAGAGCTGGGAGCACGGAGAGGACACGCCCAGTGAAGTGAAATTAGCTGTGGCAGTGACAGACCATAGGTTAGTGGAAGGAGCACCAGAGTTGAGCACTGCCTGGTAGTGAGCTTGGTAGGATCTGCCCCTGCTGTGGAGGGCAGCAGTGGAGTCGCAGGAGAATAGAGAGGGAAGCATTCTCAGCAGAGGCAGGGAGGCCCTGACAAGGCCTCAGGGGACAGGCAAAGGGGACTGGTTGCCTCAGGATTGTAGGATGGCTGTGCAGGTGCTTTGCAGTTGGCAGAGTTAACTTAAGGAAGGATCTTCTTCCCCAGAAAGAACCAAGCAGCTCCTTTTCCAAGGTGCCCAGGCCTATAGAGATCACGTATGGAGCGGAGGTTGTTCCATCAACCACCTGCCGAAGTCACTGAAGTCTGGCCTGGTGGGAGCCCCTCAAGCTCCAAGGGGACAGATGTTGATTGGACCTGATGGCCAACTGACCCGGCGACAAGCTCAGGCCTCGGAAGCTGGTGAGTGGGTGTCAGTGGAACTTGCTTGCTATTACACCTAGGGAAGATGGTGGCAAATGTTCTGTTACAGAGCTTTCACTACCTGGGAAGAGGATCTACTTAGAGGAGTGGTTCTCAGCCTGTGTGTCACGACCTCTTTGACAAATCTCTATCTCTAAAAATATTTACGTTGTGATTCATGACAGTAGCAAAATTACAGTTATGAGTAGCAGTGAAAATACTTTTATGGTTTGGGGTCACCACCACATGAGGAACTGTATATATTAAAGGTCACAGCATTAGGATGGTGGAGAACCACTGACTTAGAGTCTGGTAAGTTGAGCAAATGTTGCTGGGCAGTCTGCCCCTCACAGGCATCCAGAGTGGAAGTCACCAGCTTCTAACTGTTGTGCCAGAAGCTCTCCTGGAGTCCCATCTGCTGTAGGCATGGGCTAGTCCATTGCCTGTTGAGGGCTGGTTCTCATGTGACTTGTGAAAATAAGGACTGTGCTTCAGCCCTAAAGATTGCTGGGCCCCAAAGCAGCCTAGGAACCTCTTGACTGACCAGTGAAACGGTAAACCTCATCTTGAGACCCAGACAGATACAGAGTTCTGACAGAGTACTCTAGGGAAGGGAGAGCCCTGCCATGCTAGCAACAGGCGGTGATCTGCCCTGGAGTCCTGTGACCAGTCCTGGGAGTTCCTCCTTGTGAACCTTTACTGTAGTGCTCCAGGTGGGTGATAGGTTGTCAGAAGGATTCAGTTTCAGGGGAAGGAGGGTGCCTGCTACCCTCTTGTTCTTCCAGTATCCTTCCAGTGCTGACCACCTGGGTATTTTCTCCTCACAGGCCTTCCCGGGGCCACACCCATCCCTTGTTCGTCCTGCGTGAGATCTGTGGATGGGAAGGCGGTCTGCAGCCAGTGTGAGCGGGCCCTGTGTGGACAGTGTGTATATACCTGCTGGGGCTGTGGTGCTCTGGCCTGTGTGCTGTGTGGCCTTGCAGAGTGAGTACTTTGATCTATGGGGGTGCAGACATCATGGTCCCTCACCCTGTGAGGGCACAGGTGCTGGGTGGGTAGTCTCAAGACTCAGCGATCCTTTTGAAAGAAGTCCGTGTTTCCCAAGTGTCTGTGGCTTACTTAAAGCAGCTGCCTAGCTTAAACAGCCTTGTGGTCAGGTCTTCTGAGACCTTGGGGCTCCAACAGTCCACACTGTTGTCTAGCTTCAGTTTCTGTCCAGTGTGCTTATCATTTGAGGATTGCCTCACATGTCACTGGGTACCTGTCCATTCAGGTCATGCCTGCCCTTGTGTGCTTCCTGGTTAGCAATGACTCTTAGGCAGTATGGAATGGGTGCAGGGACACATCCCTCCAAGTGAGTATGCGATCAGTACAGTGGATCCGGACAAACTCAGCCGCACATTGTCTAAAGCTCATGGGTCAGATGGAAAACCATACTTCATATGGCAAATGCTTGCCGCCAGGGTACTCTCCAGTGGTTTGGAGAGATCAGGAGTGCATGCAAGGGTGCTCTGGGGAGAAGTCTTAGGAACCTGTAGGGCTGGTTCATGCTAAGGCTGGGAGGGAGAATTTCCAGGCTGCTTCCCAACTTGTGGTGATGGATGGTCCTCAGGTTTGTGTCAGTGGCCATCTTGTTGCTATGTCTTTTGGTCACTTCTGTGTGTCTCTTATGACATCTCCCACATATGTTAAAACACAAAGGACTAGAGCCAAGATGTCAGGCGCACAGGATGTTTGCATGCTAGACCTCCACCCAGAGACAATGGTATCCCCAAACAGTCCCTGAAATGCCACTGTCACCTGAGTGTGTCTTCAAACAAGTTCACATTCTGAGGTGTGATGGGATTAGGGCTTCAGTGAGTGGGGAAGCAGTCAGCTTCTTAGGTATCTTCTCTCTTTCTCTCCCCCATCAACTGTGTAGCTATGCTGACGATGGTGAGAAGACACTTTGTACCAGCTGCGCAATGTTTGAAGCCTGAGGTGGCCACGCACAGCACAAGATATTCACACTAAAGAGAGAGAAGTTGGCTTTTTATATGTTACATTTTATACCCCAGTAATAAGTGAATAAACCTCTTTATATTTGCACAAGGACTCCCTTCCATTTGTTAGCCTTTCTCAGGGTAGCAGGGGCAAGCTCCCAGCAGCATGCAGCTCAGCTGCCTTGGCATCGTGAGACCACTGCTTATTATCCGCATCTGACAGGCAAGCCAGGCCCAGGGAGTTCTTCCTGTCCTCCCTCAGCTGTAAGAGGAAGCAGCTGGACTCCAGGAGTCAGGCTGCAGAATGGTCATCACCTGTGTCCAGGGTGCTAGGCCACCTCATGCACTGAATTGCCACTGCACGTGGCCAGCCATCAGTACCTACACTGCTGGGTTCCAGGTGACTTGATGAACCCTGGCTTCCTGGAGTATTCTGTTGATGTTAGGGATGTGACAGTCCTCACCATATCTTCAGACATAGTTTATGTGGGACTTTGGAAGGAGTACACTGGAGGTAAGATGGCCTGGAGGATAGTTGTGGGCCAGTCACTCCCACCACCTGGGTCTGCTACTTCTTAGTGGTTGGCTGGTAGGTGGGTAGATAGACAGGACAGAGGTCTCCTTGTCCTGCCCTCTAAGAACAGCTATGGCTGTTGGTTCCCATACACTTCAGTGAGGTGCTGTCCTAGATGAGTTGGTTCAAGATTCCCGATAGGACTGGCCAGTTGGCCCAGAGGCCCTTTGTGAGCAGGAGGCTTTGGGGACTGCAGGTGGGGAAGGCCTTCCACAGTCTGGAAAGATCCCTCACTGCTGCGGATAATGGGACCCTGGCTAGTTTGAAGGGTGGAAGCTGGTGGGCTATAGATAGTGGCTAAGAGCTGGGCCCATCCGGGCCTGGGGCAGCAGTTAGGCTACTGTAGCAGAGCTGGGGGCAGGACACCACGATAGGCCAGCCACTGAGCTGGATGTTTTGTCTGTCTGTCTGTCTGTCTGTCTGCCTGTTTATTTTTTATTTGTGGCAAGGGCTCACTGTGAAGCCCTGCTAGCCTTGAACTCACTCTGTAGACCAGGCTGGCCTCAAACTCACAAAGATCCACCTGCCTCTGCCTCCTGAGTTCTGGAACTAAAGGTGCGCTCCACCACATCTGGCAGTCCTCTGGATCTTGATTAGCTGGCTTGAGGGCTGAAGCCACTAAGCCACTTGACTGCAAGTGTCAGAAACAAGGAGCTGATTGTTGGGGGGCAAAACAAACCCTGACCACACACCACACCCATACTCCCATAGCTTCTGGTGCTGTTTTATCCTGGCCTAGCTTTCTGCCAGGCCCTGTGGGCTCTCTCCACTTTGTCCCCTGGCCTAAGCTGTTCTTTACTACGAGCCTCTGCTGCAGCTAGCCTGTCAGTCACCAGTTGGGCTCATTGTCTAGCCCCCACCACCTTCAGGCTATCCTTATAAAACCAGACTTTACCTCTCCTGCTTCCTGCCCCTTAGCGTTCAGTCTACTCCCAGCATGCTAAGCTCACTCACCTTGGATCGCTCTCTTTGTTGGCTGGAGGCCATTCCTCTGGGTGTTTGTATGGTTGTTTATGTCTTCCCGGGTTGGGCACAGAAGCATCCCAGTGCCTCACTGCACAGCCCTGTCGGCTTTTCTAATTCCACCATACAAAATATGGATGTTTGAAGCCTGCCAGCTGCCGTGTCGCTTCCCGAGAGCTGTGGCATGGCTTCAAATGACGTCTTACATGTCACAGACTTGTAATCTGCCCAGCATCCAGCCATGAGGTAGCGGGGACTTAAAAACTGTTTGGGGAGTGTATTTGAGTGCACGCGTTAGCGTGGGGGTGCGTGCATGAGTTTGCATGTGGGGAGCCGGCAATCTACTTTGTGTTGTTTTGGTTTTATTTGGCTCGGGGGTGGTTTGGCCTGAAGCTCACTGATTAGGTTAGGCTGTCTGGACAGCAAGCCTCAGAGCCCCACCTGTGTCCGTCTCTCTAGCATTAGGAGTATAAACAAATGCCACCACTGTGCTTTTTAAAATATATATTGTGGGGCCAAACTTAGGTCATGTTTACATGGCAAGCATTTTGGCAACAGATGCCCCGGCCTCTATCCAACTTTAAAAAAGAACAAAGTACATAGATATTGGACAGCACCCAGTGTCAGATGATAACCCCAGAGGGAATAAGACGAACCCAGGTGTCAGCTCCTGCCTGCTCAGCACCCACCTGTGGTGTGGGAGGAGATTGAGAGCTTGTGAAGAGAACTGAGAAGATTTGGGGATTAGAGCTAAGGTGGCCAGAGTTTACACAGCAGATTGCCAGTGGGACCTGCACTGGGTCAGAGCACGGCACATTGCCAGTGGGGCCTGCACTG